CAGCAGTTGAGAAGTCTCTGACTTCTTGTTCTATGGCTTTGTCTCATACTTTGATATTCCCAAAGGCCATGGCCAGCATCTTTAGTGTCCTGGGGGAAACTTCAAAAACCCTAGATTTATTGTAAATTAGCTACTGCGAGCATCATTCAAAGTCATCCTGCCTACAGTTAGAGCAAACTGAAGAGAAAGGGTGTTTTACTGAACGCTTAGCCCATGTAATTATTATCAAATCTAACACATAAAAGGTGATAATAGCCTTCTGTTTTGTAGACAAAAGTGAGGACAAATAATTAGTTCAAGGTTAGGAATCAAACCCAAGTTTCACTAACACCAAAGCTCATGCACTTTCTGGTAACTCTACTTCTTACAAAGTTCCTTCATGACCAAACCAAACAAACAGGGCAACAGGGCTGGGTTTTGGGAGTTGAGTTCTCTGGCATGGAGGCTTTCAAGCATAAGCTCCCAGACCATCTTTTCCAGAACGTTTTAGAAGAGAATCATGTACAAGTGGATTGGAATTGGGCTCTGAGACCTCCCCCAACAGTTTGCTTGTATGTTTCTATGATATCTGAGAGCCATGTGCAAAGAAAAATTCCTGGGATCATCCAGCTGGAATGTGAAGTGACAAGCTCTAAGTCACAAGCCTACTTGGTGAAAAAAACTCAACTTGGAGCCCAGGTTTTGGAAGTCTCAGCCTTGACCCTTCATATTAGCTCATGGTGACTTCCAGAGTAGATGAGCCTCTTCTGGGCACAGTGGTGCTGATGGTTCTGCTATTGTAGGGACAGGGACACACACGTATTCCAAGGAAGAGTAGCACGGGGATCAAAACTGTCAACTCAGGAGATCTCAGAACTTGTTTCTCTCTTTTTTTTAGTGCCTTCCATCATAAAATATTCCCCTCTTTACACACACATACTAGGAAGCCGAATAGCAGCCATCTCCCAGATGACAGCCAGAGGAGACACTTGCAATTTGGCACTAGCTTTGATGGAGATATTCTGCAATTTATGGTTTTGGCAAATGGAAGCTAAGGTAAAATGAATATATTACAGCTTTTGGGAACACAGATTTTTCAGTAAGTTTCCTCCTCTGGCAGTTAGTTTGTCTTTGACAAATTATTCTCAAAGTAATGGAGATGAATAGAAATAACTTTACCCAGAATGGTCCTTTTTTTTTTTTTTTTTGATATATATTCCTTTTAATGTCTTGGTTTCTAGGGCCTAGAATCTTTAGAATTTGGTAACAGAAACCTCTTCAAGACTCTTTTTATTTTTATTTTTTTTTACATAGGAAGTCTTTTTTCTTGAAGTCAAAATCTTTGTTCTAATGATCTTTATATGCAAGGAAACACCTGCTTGCATAGGGGTGAGAGTGAGAGTATTAATATACTCCCCATTTTTTTAGTAAAGTGAAATACAGTAGCTCAATATCTTACTAATTGTCAGAGTTAGAGTCACGTATAAGATTAGAGTCCCCCAGATTCTGGCTCATACATGGTTATCTGAGACGACTATTTCTTTGTATTTTCCAAACTAGACAAAGTCATCCAGTTGTCCTATCAGTAGACAATTAAATATCGAAGGTCAGCGCTTCCCTGCTCTCTGGAAGCCAGGCCTCGATTTGCCATAATGTGTCAGGGAGGAGTGAATCACCTGGATCCGAGCAGGTGCATACGGCCCGTGCTAGTCTGCCCTTGAAGCTTTCAACGAGAGTGAGAAGTTTACCTAAGAAGATTCCTACCGGCTTTTTTCACTTTTTAATGACGTCCCTACGTCTTCACCAGCCTTCTATTCTCCAAGTTACTTCCAGCGTGACAGGCATTTCTGTCTGGTGGTTTCCAGGCTGGAAAACGGCACACGTATTACTCTCGCACTTGATTGCTGAACTGATGCCACAGGGCTCTGACTAGCTGTTTTACACTGACCTTCCTCTGTTTCCTGGCATTTCCACCGCCTGCGGGCTGCCCTTGTATTCTCTGATTGTGACACGTGAGTACTAACGGAGATCTTGAGATATTAGTTTGAAGGTGTTAAGTTTTTGAAGCTTCTGATTTCATTTTTTTGTATACTATTCCCCCTTGTGCCCCATGCTTCTAGAAAGCTTCTTCTGAAAGGAAGAAGGATGTTTGGATGGATCCAGAGAATTCAAGTGATGACCCCACAGTTCACAGCTTATATCCATAAAGCTTCTTACACTCATATTAATTTTCTCATCTTTATAGAATCGATTTGTGGGCTTAGAGCTTGTACTCTTTGAGAAAATGTTATAGGTAAATCTTGAGAGGCTAACAAATAAATCAGGGGTCGTAGTGGTTATTCATATTCTAAAAGCATCATTTGTTTTAAGACTAGGATTTGGACAGAAACAGAGACAGAATTTTTTTTTTCAAAATGAAATTGTGTTAGTTCATAAATCATTAGATATTTGGGGAGAGAGAAGAGTAGATGTTGAAGAATGACAATGTGGCTTAAAAAAATTAAAGGCAAATGCTGTGATCTGCTAAGAAAAAATCATGCCCATGAAGATAAAATACCTTTAAAAGTATATAATAAAATTAAACTTCCAAAATGTTATTTGTATTAAAAAAATCAACTCTGTTGGAACACATTTCAGCCAATAAATACGTTTAGTAAATGTCTGCCAGAACTGTGCCCCATGCTGTTCCACATATTGAAAAGAACACAAAATAAATGCAAGTTCTGGAACCTTTGAGAAGCTTCCATTTTAGTTGAGGAGGCATCATACCCTACCGGCTGCAATTAAGGCAAACCACAGTGAGCAGCTGTAGTCTGGGGTTTCGTTTTATAAAACAATCCCCAAGCACTGTTCATCAAGTACCAATCCAATCAGTAAGGATCCCTTTGAGTGTGATAGATCCACAGGAAAGGAAGCAAAAATCATCCTTACAATCACGGAACTTTCTAGTTCTCATGTGTATCCTACACTTTGATATGTTAAGGTCAAACAAGTCAAGGTGAGTGGAAAATTCAGAATCTCTATCACAGATATTCAAATATTTAAAGTGAAATGACTCTGTAAGGTCTTTCTATTACTGTCAAAGCATGTTTATTTAGTGTTAATTTAAAGAGTAGAGGAGAAAGAACAGGATGGAGAAGACCTGGAGAAATGGAAGAAGAAAGACCTTTACAACCTCGTGAGGGAATTCTCTATTTGTTCTCCTTCGATAATGATCAGATGGAATTTACCCTAGCAGCAAGTCGAAGTGTAATTCTCAATCTGCCATTTCCATAAACTCAACTGTGTAATTAGCCTGCATTCCCTCTGCATATTAAAATCAAATTTTGTCAAAAGAGGAGGCATCAACTGGTACACGGAGAGTTGTGGAAGGCATTTTTATGAAGGCTTTTCAAAGCTTCCCTCCTAAATTTCCTCCCACTACCTAACCTTACCCCCAAGGAGGAAAAAAAAATTAAAGCTTTTTAGTTTCTTTCTGATCTATAAAAAAACCAAAAACGAGACATAGGCACTTTTGGGATGCTATTAACTTTCAAAGGCCTTTGTATGAAGTACTTAGTAGTTGGTTTTCCTTTTTTGCAAGGTGAATTTTTGCCGATGTTTTCCTTTACTTCCCATAACACTGTACTCTGTTCATTTTAAGTCTTTTCATGCATAAGTTTCTTCCTTACCACATTATGTGACTTTGAGGGCAGAGATACTTCTCATACAGATCTCTAACCCCATCTCTCAGCATCTCACAGAGGGCCTTGTTCACAACAGACAGTAGATGGACCTTTGTTAAATTTAGAGGATAGGAAGCCCTCTCATATGCCTCCGGGGAGATGTGTGACAAAATGTAGTTACTGGCTGGGCGTGGTGGCTCACGCCTGTAATCCTAGCTCTCTGGGAGGCCGAGGCGGGTGGATTGTTTGAGCTCAGGAGTTCGAAACCAGCCTGAGCAAGAGCGAGATCCCGTCTCTACTAAAAATAGAAAGAAATTAACTGGACCTAAAAATATATAGAAAAAAATTAGCTGGGCATGGTGGTGCATGCCTGTAGTCCCAGCTACTCGGGAGGCTGCGGCAGGAGGATCGCTTGAGCCCAGGAGTTTGAGGTTGCTGTGAGCAAGGATGACGCCACGGCACTCACTCTAGCCTGGGCAACAGAGTGAGACTCTGTCTCAAAAAAAAAAAAATGTAGTTACTGGAGTATAAATAATTGATCATAAATAAGATACAATAAGCCAATAGCTCTCACCTAGAAACATGCGTCTTGTTATCTTGGGATTGATTTTTGATGTCATGAGGGCATGGCTCTCCCTGTGTAGGTGGTGGTGGGTTTTCCCCAGAGGGAACTGAACATTCCCGCTGGCAACCATCCTGAAAGTGGGCTGGGACATGAGGCAGGCCTTGGGGCTGGCAGAGGTGCGGGGCATCTTCTACTTCTTGTTAGCCCTGGCTCCCAGGTGGGGAGGACTGGAGCTGGCTTTGAGAAAGCTTGCTCCCTATCATCGGAGGGAGGAGAAAAGCATGACCCAGTCTCCACTGACCATAACAATGCTAACTGTGGCAGCCGTGGTAGAGATAGCAAACCTTTTGGAACCATTAAAGAAAAGGAGTCCTGTAGAAAACTCTGAAGAGCCAAGACTGCCCGCTTCCGTTGGAGAAGGGCGGTGTCCGCCCTGCTGGAACACAGGAAGAGGTGGTCTCTGACCACGTTTAGACCCAGGTGCCCAGACTGTTTCCTAGGGAAAATGGCCCTGTGTGTGTGTGCATTTATTTTATGAATGCAATACCAAGAGCTATAACTCTTCATCCTTTGCCATTTGCAGCTATGACACAGCTCTAAAAGTGACACACTAAAGGCCATTGATCTTTGCTCCACAAGAGGCCAAGGACTTTGTCAGCTCAGGGGCTCCTGCCCAGCAGGTATGGAAGCAGTGATTCAGGCGCAGGGACAGCAGGGACGGTAGTGGTGACAACCAGATTCTTTTAATCAGATGCTCAGGATTGCCTGGGTCTCCTAGGCCCCTATCTTCACTAAGTAGACTTTGGCTTTAGCATCTGCACCTGTGTTGCTGCCATAGCTTTCGCTCTACCGGGAGCAGTGGCTTTTATACGCACCTGTACTGGTCGATTGGTCTCCACCTCCCTGAACGAAATGATTTTTTCACGCATGGTTTGGGATTCTGTTTTCCCTGCGCAGGACAAAGATTACATTACGCTTTTTCTAAACATGCTCTTTAGGGCCTCTGTCACCATAATTTTTCTTTAGTTAAGATGTTGAATTAGCTGGTAAGCATTTTACCCTAAGATTGACGGTGTAGCGGAACGTATCTCAATGGCATGGAGGGCTCAGGTTCCATTTTGCAGAGCCCAGAGTAATTCATTTAGAGCAGTGACTTACTCATGTGTGGAACATTTGACTTTTAAAACCATCTGGCTTATAGTTGCAGGAATAATGCAGCAGCCTTTCGATTGTCCCCTCATCTCCCATTCTTGGTGAAGCCATGCCATTTAATTTCAGAAATGGAGAGATCTTGACTGGCTGCCAAGCATCAGCTTTCAGTGCAATTTTTATGGTTCTATTTACACACCCCTCCAAAGATCTGGGCTGTGTGGCAAGGTTTATGGTCTCTTTGCTCTGGCTTTGCTGTTAAAACAAATGAAGCTGCGATGAAAATACATCTACCCAGCTTTGGATGCTACAGTATTATTTCTTCCAATTTTCAAAAGAGGGTGAAATATGACAAGAACCAGAAATTCTTCTTCAGATAGCTTCTTGGTTTCTAGATTTCTCTCTTTCTCTCCCTCCCACCCCCTTTCTCTCTCTCTCTCTCTTTCTTGCTGGCTTGGGATATGTATTTTTTGGTAGGATTTTACTTTTTCATGTAAATATTCAGAGGAGAACCATATGCTACTTTTGGGAATTATACATAAGAAAGTACTGGAAATACAGTAGAGCATATTTTTTTAACTCGGTGTTTACTTGGTGATTGTTTTCATAATCCTAATTAGTTTGTATAGCAAGTTTAGAATTAGTTATGCTAAAAATTTTATAGGTAAGAGAAATAAAAATGTTTAATTTCTGTTTCTGACACTGTTTTTGAATGTTATGTTCTACCCCTGGAATGCCAGTTACGTGAAGGACATTGCTAATCTCGTTGCTTGCAATTCTCTCACATTCTCTGTGTGCCTACCAAACTGAACCACCTTCCTTTCCTTAGATATTTCCACACTTTCATGCTCTGTAAGCTTCTCTGCTATATCTGATCCTTTTAGTGCCCCTTATTCCTGTTCAACACGTTTTACAAAATTCTCTTTGCCTTGAAATTTTATTAACAGCACAAAATAAATACTGTCAATAGGGCCTCTTTCTCCTTTCCAAAAATAGTCTTATTTTCTTCTCCTGTTGCATATACTGTTCTCTCACTCCACTGATGATGCAGACTGTTCTCAGAGGCTCTGCCGGCTTTGCTCTGCTCACTGGTTCTTTGCTTTAGAAACGCCCGTCCCGGCTTGGTACCTGACTACATTCAGGCTGGATTGGTGCCTTGCCAGGTTGTTGGGTTGTTAGATCCTCTCACGTCTTGCTCCGTGGATGGCTGCATTTGGTGATTCAACAATCCCACTGCTCAAGGCAGCAGAGAGGAAACCAAGATCATAGGTGAACCATGGAGATCCTTTTCCGTGAGGTTGAAGCTTTTGAGTCAGGAGCCAGTCTTCTGCTTCTAGGTTTTAATTCACCTTGGCCTACAGTTCAGATTCAGTGATTCTCAAACTCGATTGCACCGATTAAATCAAAATCTCTGGAGAAAAGAACCCAAGCATCAATTTTTCTTAAATGCCCTCAAGGATTATGCCGTGTAGCTGGGCTTGATTGCAATGTGGTTGTGGATGGACTCCTCTAGGAGCGACTGCATCAGAAGCCTCATCACCTGCTGACGTCCTCCTCACATCTGCAGGAACAATGGCTATCATGGGCTATTGCTCAGCAGCGGTGAAAACGATGTTAAGTGGAAAGCTCCCGGCTTGTAATCACAGCTTTCATTTGCCTTGGGCTTCTTTTCCTTTAAATGAGTGAGCATTCATGACATTTTACAAATGTATATTCTTTCTACCACCTGAGGCACTGTGTCACTTTCTCCCTAATGGATTTTGTAAATTAGTTGTTTACAACACAATGAGCAGAAAAATCTATCTGCTTGATTGTGTTTTTCTCTATTTTTTCATTGCTGGTGCTGAGTTCTCTATATTTCTATATTTCTTTGGACATTTTATTGATGCGTGGAAAAGAAGAAAGATGCTATGCTTCATAATAATATAGATCACTGTGATTATTATTATAACTACTGTATTATGAGTACACAGTATTGGACACCAGAATTATAAACTATAAATGAATTATCGCATGCAATCTTCACAGCAATTTTGAGAAGTAGATATGCTATGCCCATTTTATAGATGACGCTGTAGTTGTCATCCTGTCTGGAAAATCTTCAGCTGAATTGTGAAAAATGATGACAATCACGCCACCATGTGGTAAGCTGGCGATGGTTTCAAGGGGAAAGAGGAGGGTGGGGAGAATGGTGAAAGCAAGGCATTCTGCATCTGCTAATTCAAGCCTACCCAGCACCAAGTTCAATGAGAACCAAGCCTGGTAGTGCAACTGGAAACCATTCTCCAACAAATATTATCTAGAATTAACCTAATTAGCTCAGTTCCCTTCATTTTTCCAACGTTAATTTCTAGCTTTCCTAGTGCCATAGACCTAATGATGAATTTGGAGTTTGGTGCCTATATGAATGCTAAAACCTGCCTGATAAATCCACCCTACCAGGTGTGGGCTAGTGTGCTTGAACGGTCTTTGACTCAGCTACCTGATGCATGGCCCTCCCATGGTCCCCTTTGGGCAAGCCAGCCTCATTTTGAATGTCTGAGAGTTGACGAAGGGTCATGGCCTTCTCCTCTTATGTTTAGCAGCCCTTTCCTGTGGGGCTGGATTCTGCTCCCTTGCCCCGACTTAAGTGGGCTTATTTTACCTGTTGAGAATGGCCCACGCCTCACCACTAGATGCTGCCTCACTGCATTCTCTTTGAGCAGACTCCATCTTGCTTGTCGAGTTTTGCTTACATTGATTTTTCCTTTTTCCCACAGACTTGGTTATATATGTATGTGCTGCTTTCCCTTCAGGAAGGAAATGTTCTTGCTACATGGTCAGTTTTCCCAGTTTCCCATTTGGGGCTGGTACAAGCCTGCTCTCCCTTCCTCTGCAATAAGACGCTCCACATGCTATGCAGCCAGGAGAGAATTTCTCCTGACACTTGTGTGTGTCTAACTTGAATTTCTGACCACTGTTTCCATGAAGAGTTTCCTTTGATTCTCATGCAATTGAAATTCCTGGGGCCCTACCCTATTTTTTCTTCCTAAAGTAGATACTTCTCTTTAGGACTTTTGGGACATAGCAAAACTACACAAACATTTACTTTGTCATTCAAGATTTTCTATCTTGAAAAGGAGACAACTCAACCCCAACTGAGGATGATCTATCTCTGGTTATGAAGGCAGAAAAGCATAAAATCTTTGGAGACTGAAAAAGGTTTGCTCCACCTGGGCACATCACAATGAAAAAAATGTGCCATATATTTGGATTAGCACTAAGAATGTTGGCCACCAGTATTAAGCTATGATTCCTTTCAAATCATTGTGTATCCATCTCCTGAATGCTAAAGGTTTTCAGTATGTTGATGATCCCACTCTATTATTTCTCTGTCTTATCTCACCAGGAGGTTCTCACCCAGGTGTTCGAAAATGTCAATTTTTGAAATTTCAGCAGCCTTCTTGATTCCAGAGAGACAGCACTTAGCTGGGGAATTGATTGGAAGCTTTGAACAAGAAGGTCAGGTAGCTGAGGACTACAGCTCCACAGCAGGGGCAGTTATAAGAAAAGAGTGTTTGGAAAGTTTATTTTGAGTCATTGGCTGACTTTATTCTCATGATGTGCAAAGATCAGTAGAGGAAAGAGCTTACGGCTTGATAACTGGGGGCGTCAGCTCTTCCAAAATATGCTTGTCTTTTCATCTGTTTGCTGAGACCTGGCATGAAAACAAGCTACCACACTGTGACAGGGAAGACACAATCTAGTAACAAAGCATTTTTTTCCCCAGATGCATTCTAACAGAAAACTACCCTCGCCTTGCGGGCTTGGAGGTGGAGGCCCTTGGGAGTTAGAGACAGAAAGGAATTAAGCAGGAGGCCCTTTTAATTACTTAAGGTCAGTTATGGGTGTAAGTTTTTTAGTTTTTGTTTTTTACCCCTGGTAGTTAAAAATAAGACTCTTAGTCATTCTTCCAAAAGTCTTTTGGCCCATTCAACAAACCCTATTAATTATTCCTTCATTAAGAACTTTCACCTGTCTCTTGGCTTTTGAATAAGACAAATGTTTTCTATCTTAGAGGTGAGTGTGTTTTTAATCAGGACATGCTGTAACTGATATATATATATATATATATATATATATATATATATATATATTCTATGTCTATATTGAACAAGACTACAAGGAAGAATTCTATTTATTTACTTATAGCTCTTATAAAAGAAATCAACTTCTTCACGTTTTTTTCAGGAAAATTTGTTGCAAAGAAATGAATCCCTTTGAGCCACCAACGCAAGAGAAAATTTTCTTCCACTCTTACTTCTCCCTGCTGTGCTCTAAACAAATTTTTGTTCTCAGCACATGGAATGGTTGTCTCTTTCATAATTTCAAATTGCCTTGAAATAAAACTAGCTCAATAACACAGAAAAGAAGACATTGGGTGAGAAATTTAGCACCAAAGAATTAGAAATAGGTAACATCTATTAAGTGCATGAAATATGCCAGGCCTAACACTCAGGTCTTTTCCTATGTTTTTAGTTCTCACAGCAATTTTATGAAATGTCATTATCCTCATTTTACAGATATGGAACTAAAGATTCATTAATACTGAGTGACTGGTTCAAGGTCATGCAGTTAATAATTGGCAGAGCTTAGTTTTAAACTTGGGATTGTCTAATGTCAGAACTCCACTTTGTATCCACTGTGCAATGCTTCCTCTTGGTATGGAATTACCTTATAAAAGTGGTGGGACTGTGTGTTCTATTCCATTATTAAGTTAAAGTAATCACTGAGGCAGGCAGAGTATTATTCAGTATCTAC